TCTGCACTAGTGGAAACCTTGAAAGTTTCTTATTCATCTGTTTGATAGAAAAAGATATATATTTTTTATTAACTTAAAAGTATTTTCATAAATAGACTTTTCTTTCATTTATGGAAATAGTCATAATTCATGTTATTCGAGAGATCGATAGTCCAAATTATTCGTGGTCAAAATTAACTAAGTTTAAATTGTCAATTTACTTGTGATCAAACTCAAGTTAATTCGAACCGTTTACTTATTTATTAATTTATATGTAATTTTTTTCAAGAATATATATATATATATATATATATATATATATAATAAAACAATTAATAAAATATTTAATAAAATACTATATAATGTCTGGTAGGTTTACTTTATCGTGCTTAAATTTTTTTTCAAAACAATCGTAGAGTCGGGAAAAAACATTCAAAGATTTTACGATGGATTTCCTTATTTTTATAGAGTTTAGTTCTATTTATAAGATTTGATTATTTAATTCACTAAATAAAAAAAATTAATGACAAAAAATTAACTTTCTAATCTTGTCCTCAGAAAAAAAAATATCTATAAAAAAGTAAAATAAGACTTGTATATGTCTATGCTATATTGTAATAAATACATAACTTTTAATTATGATTTGTTTGATTTAATCTTGTTTCTTTTTTTAATTATTTATATTTAAAAAATAAAAATCAATTTTAAAAATTATTTTTAAAATTAATTTATGAAATAAATTATTTAATAATTAGAATTTAAAAATTATATTAAATGAAAAATGACATCAATAATAAAAAAATTGTAACGAAAGTTAAAAAACACTTTTAATAATAAAGATGAGATATATACTCCAATAACAGATAAAAGAATATTATTAATGAAAATAGAAAACAAAAAAAATATTTTTTACTAGTTTTAAATTTTTAAAATTTTTAAAATAAAAATAATTTATAAATTTGTTATAAAAAAAAATACCAATTAAATTTTTTAATATTAAATTAAAACTAAAAATATTTGTACGTACGATAAACAAATAAATCTCTAGTCTTATTATTTTGGGTACAAGTTTCTGAATTCTGCTCATGTTAATAAAATAAAATAAAAAAATATTTGGTGTATGGTATCGTGGGTAAACAAGTAAATAATTTAAATTAAATATATTAATAGTATAAAAGATTTTTTTTTGTATAATAACTAATTTCTAAATCAATATGTATCATAAAAATGAAAACTTTTATAATAATACTTGTTGGGACTAAAAGTGTTTGAGGAAAAATACAATCATCGAAACCAAAATTTTCATATCCATTGTTTTATTTTGTGGTGAAGAATCAATTTTAACTTTCTTTTTACAACCTCATGGAATAAGACATGTTCCACTTCTAAATTAGTCTAAATCTTAAATTCCAGTCCACTAAAAGCTGCCTAATAACGTCATGTTATGAGTAATTAATAATCGTGGACCAACCTAATCAATGTTTTTGTCTACAATAGTAACTCAAATTAACCATTCTTTAATGGATCCAACAACCATGTGTGTTATGAACAAATCACTGCATCAAGTTGTTTACAAGTCACAAAGATCATCACTTCATCAGAAAAAATAATTCATTATTTCAAACAGAACCACACTATTTGATTCATTACACTGTCCATTTCATCAATAGAGTAAAATTAGTAGGTGTTGTTGTTTTAGGGTTAAACCCTAAATCCTATGGCTTACACCCTCCATCTCACTGTTGTTTCAGGGTTTAAACCCTAAAATCGACAATCAAATTAATCCAAAGTTAAAAACGGCATTATTGAATGGATAATATTGAGATCTATTCAGTAAGTAAAAAAAAAAATAAGTTTAAAAACTTATTTGATATGGCAAAAGTTTATTTAATATTTTGGGATCTATCACTTGATAAACTTTTTCACAAACCCTTTTAAGAGAGAAAAAGTAACAAGATCAAATAAATTTGTTCTCTAGTTAAAAATACTCATGAGTTGAAAATGACTTAGACAAATTATCTGTTTTATTATATATATACATATACTAATTTTAGTTTATAGAAAGAAAAACTATTTTATTCTTTTCTTAAAAAATATATAAGTTATATTCTTTGTGTATATCTAATGGAAGTTGTTGTATTTATCTTTTGTTTTATTGTCTATACCTGCAATATTTTCCCAAAGTGAAGAGGGAAAGGAAATCCTTCTAGTTCGGTTGTCGGAACCAGAACATTACAAAGTTACATACAGATGAGAGAAAAAGAGAAGAAAAGTGTGAATGCATAGAAAAGGATAAGAAAAGAAAAGGTTGGTGGTGGCAGGAAGTGGTGTTTTACACATTTAAAGCATGGTGTTTGTTGTTTGCTTTATGTAGTAATAAAGCATGCACTTTCTCAGGTGGTCCAAACAAACAGTATAATAACTCTTCCCATTATGCATGGATAAGTGCATCAGAGGATGATTCCACCAGTTGAAGGGTCCTAATCTACATCATGGGGACCTCCATAGTTTCTGCAATCTTCTTCTTTTATCACTACTTTCTTTCCCCTCCATCTATTTTCTCTCTTTAGACCTCCTACCTATATATTCACATAACTCAATTAGATGCTGATTTTGTTCATCTACCTCTTACCCTACTAACAATTGGATGTATGTACTAATATTACGGGCTCATTTAACTTTTTAGCAGAGCTACATTCAACAACATAAATGGTGGTGACCAACATGACTCCATTGACATCTAAATGGGTCAAAAATGCAGTACAGAAATAACCAGAGAAAACAAGTAACATAAATAGCATTGCAGCTTTGCATTTCTGAATTTTCCCTTTCCATATCAACATTAAGTTGCTGCACATATAGATTATGCACTTGAAAAAAAGGAATACCTAATAATGAAACTTAAATAGCTTTCATTACTTACAATATAACTGTACTTTGCATTTGGTTTGTATAAAAAATATCTTGAATTTTCATTCCTGTAAGACTTTTTTTTCAATTTTGATCCTTGTGCGTTAAGTTTAAACCATTTAGTTTTTTCAATATAACTTTACTTTTTTTCAATATAACTGTAAATCATTTAGTTTTTTGGTTCAATCTTTGTAATATGTTGCTCATTTTGAAACAGTGCATTTAAAAATATTTAATAACACTCAATTTAATAGTTTCTAGTAAATTTTGACCAACAGTAAATATATTAAAATGAATATGAAAAGTGAGGTGCTAGCAGTCATAAATATTAAAAGCCAATCTGTTTGACACAATATTAGAAATCTCCAAATAAAACAATTATGAAACAGAGTACAACAAGGGTGACAATATTACAAAAGTCTGTATCTATGATTACATAGAAATCAGATTATACCAATTGGCAAAAGGGGAAGGGTGGTTGATCAAGCTAAAACACAAAAGAAGGGCACATAAACTAATGATCAAGCTACAGAAAATGGTACATAAACTACCAATATGTTGTGAGGGGTTGTAGATCAAACTACGAAAAAGGGGACAAACTACAAACATCATTATCAACACTGACAAAAACAACCTGTATTGATGACACAACCAAGTCACTTCCAGAGCTTGACAAACTTGTCATGACTGGCTGAAGCAACCAAACCATTTACAGTAGAAACCGCCAATGCCGCAATAAGACCTTCATGAGCGGATAGAGTCATTGTCTTGTTCTCTGTCATGTTCCACAGCTCCAATGACTGCACATCATGGTATCGATTGTAACATGTCAAAATTACAAATTTTATTATGGATTGGATTTAATACTATTTGTCAAGGACATGAAACATGGTCAAATATAATCAAGTCAGTTCCAACATCTTCCTAAATCACCGTAGAGTCTGTTTGAATACAAAGCTAGAAGAGCTTGGGAGCTTCTCTACTGAAAAACAGCTCTATATTCTAGGTAAAATAATAACTTGTATTCAAACAGTGTTTGATATCAATAACTGAATCACATTTTACAATATATTTGAAAGCATAGTAGTTGAATTGGGATTGAATCATGGATCGGAATACCCATGTTCCGAATCACAGATTAGAACACAGATAAATAATCCCATTAAAACATTATCTGGTTTTGTTTAATTAGAATTCTTTGGCAATCAAATGTCATATTTAGAATTCATTATAAAAAGGATATGATTTGAAATTAATCATAAATCAGGTTTGGAAGCTCTAAATGATGAGTTGACTTTATTTTATTACACTTGTGACAGGTAAGGTGGGTAAACTAATGAGGATGAAATCATCAATTCAAAATAATTACAATTATAACCAGATCAAATGAATCAAATCCAACCAAATTTGAGTGGATATCTAATACACACAACTTAAATCAAAAAGGATTTCAAAATCAATTCCGCATCATACATTTCAAACATAGAATTCCATTCATGAATCAAATCAATTCCAAAAAGTTGTGATTCCAAACATACTAAAAGAAATAAACATTAGAAAAGGATGTACACTTGCCTGGTAACAACCAACTACCAACAGCGAAGAATATGTTGGATGGAAAACACATGAATGGAACTTGTTGCCATTGCAGCTAAGCTCGTGAACACACTCCCCTTCACTCCCTGATCCAAGAGTCCAAACCCTGACAGAGTCCTCACTGACAGATGCCAGGAATTCCCCAGAAGGATCCCAACACACAGAGTGTATCGATTTTGTATGTCCCTATAATCATATTGAAATCAAATATGCATAAGTAAATTATGAAAATGACCAGACTTTCAAGGAGCATTAATTACTGTGGAAGTCACCAAAAAAACAAATATCCAACCTCCAAAGTTGTTTTGAAATATATACAATGTCACAATATGCTTATATAAAGAATAACCAACGATTCTTTTCTTAGAACCCCCTCCAGCAAAACCAGATAGTATGAGGAGCATGAGACTCAAGCACAGACTCACTCGAGATTAAGAGTATGCCTAACTGAAATAAATTAACCTAACTCCAGCAATCAAACTTTCAGTAAAAATAAAATAAAAATTCAGACCAACCTTCAATGAATATCGACATGCTTGTGTTTCCACATCAAGAATAGAAACAACATTTTCAGCAGCTGCAGCTAGGTACCTCCCTAGACGAGGTTGAAATCTCATCTGAGCAGTGCCACCCTAAACAGAAGGAAGATTTGTCAGTTTTAGCAAACTGAAATGAAAACACGATGCACAACCAATTAAACAATGCATATGCTAAGATTCTACCTTTGAGACTCTAGCACAACTGCCATTGTTAATGCTCCAATATCGTATCTCACCATCAACATCACAAGAGCAGATAAGATCTTCTTTATTAGGGTGAAAATCTAGAGACATAACAGATGAAGAATGCCCCGTAAAGGTACGAAGTGAATATCCGGGCTGCATTGGAGATTACATATCAGCTAAAGAAGAACACAAACAAACAAAACACGCACATACACACAATTCATCAAAATCCAGACATATGGCAACTAATTATCTGAATCTGCAATCACTAGCAACATCCCAGCTCATAGATAGGCGTGGCATTCAAACCTACCCACAATTACAGGAGAAACTTCCAGATCCCATATAACTTAATATAGGAACATTAATCTAGCAGACATAAATTTGTACAGAGATTATTGGGATGTTAGTGTTCATAGTGCAATTCAAGCTATATATGCCAACACCAAAAACTGAAATTCCTAAGGTTGTGAACAAGCATTAAGCTTGCACCATACAAATCATATTTTATCATTAGAGAAGTGAATAACTTCCCTTCGTAACTTCCTAAGCTTCTACAAAGAAAATTGAAGCATTGTGTCCAAGTCACAGTGATAATACAATTTTTTAATGATAATCTGTAGCCAATTAAGGTCTCTACATCAAGAACCCTGAATAAACGTTTTCATTGCAACATCCTTGTAACAGCATTATACTACACTAGAACCATGTTTAAGAAATCATATCCCAGGAACTCAGCTGCAATACACAATAGGTTTTCAAACCCATGGCTCACTAAGGACAGGAGTAATTTGGAGTATTCTGTTCCCCATTTTAGTGTAAATGTACTTTAATTTAATAAGAAACAATTACAAAATTGTTATACTTTTATTATTTCAATAACTAAATATTTTCAGGAAAAGACCAAACACATATTTTGTAAGAACCTATGTGCCATGCTTCAGACTCAGAAAATCTTATTCATATGACATGCATAGCCAATTTATTAGAACTATAGATATTAAATCTATAGGGAGGGAAATTCTCAAAAGTAGTATTAATAGAGAGTAAAATAAACATTCTGAACTAACATTATCAACATCCCACACCCTGACAGTTTTGTCATATGAAGATGTTGCAAGGCGAGGCATGCTTGGACTGAAACGGACATCAGTGATTAAAGAAGCATGCTCTTCAAGAATAGCTTTTTGTTTTAGAGTATCTGTGAACCATAAAACAGCCTGCATTATGAAAAAATCAGACAAAATGTCACATTCTATATACAAACAGATTAAGTAATAGAGAAATTTTGTGATTATGTTTTTATATTTTCAAGCAGATCAGATGCTATATTCACTGCAAATTTGAGGGAAAACAGTTGAAAAGAGAAATCAATAAATAAAATGATTTTGCAGAATATACTGACTAACCTTTTTGTCATGGCCACCGCTAGCAAGCAATTTCCCATCAGACGAGAAATGGCAACAGACAACTTTGTTAATGCTTGCATGTACAGAACTTATTTCAGAAAACGTGAAACCTGAAAATAAAGTGAATCCATGGCCTCAGTTTCTACAAGATTACCTATTTATGCCAGTCAATAAATTAAAGAGCAACAATCCACCATCATACAATAGGCCCACCAAACCTTGCGCAAATGAACTATATCATATTAGGAAATATATTTAGGTATATCTCAATCCTACAAAATCGACTGATAAGATGAAGTTTGCATCCACTTAAATAAATGAGTCATATTTTTTCTAACACAATTCCTCATACCGAGTATTGGATATCTCAAGGGCATGGGACTAGGTATTAGGGGGTAGTTTGATAGTAGCCCGATGACATCATACAATAGGCCCAACAAACCTTGCGCTAATGAACTATATCATATCAGGAAATAGATTTAGGTCTATCTCAATCCTACAAAAATCGACTTATAAGATGAGGTTTGAATCCACTTAAATGTTATAAATTGGTAATATCTTTAGTTGATGTGGAATCTTTAACACATTTCCTCACACCAAGTATTGGATATCTCAAGAGGGTGGGACTACTTGTTAGGGGGTAATTTGACAGCACATTGTACAATAGGCAAAACAAATACTGAGAGAATGAACTATATTTGATCATATCTTTAGTTGATGTAGGATCTCCAAACAAACTCCTCATGTCAAGAATGGACATCACAAAAATGTGGGACTTGATATTTATGAGTAATTTGATAGTGGCCGGCACAATAAGCTCAACAAATTTTACTAGGATAGGCTCTAATACTATATTAAGAAAATGATTTTTGATCATATCTCTATCTGATATGGGATCTCCAACAAAGATGTTCAATAAGCCCTGAGAAGATTTATGTTGGCATTGATCCAAAGATTTAGTGAAGGAAGTTCAAGAACATCTACAAAAGGCTAAAAATAATATTTAAAATGGTTCACTAAATCTACCACTAATTAATGAAGAAAAAATAATTTAATTGTTGTTAGGGAAAATTTATTAACAACCTACACTTGAGAAACTCCTTTGCAATCAGAATGCATGAATATTTTATTGTCAATAAAAACAATGGCACTGCACCTTTGCTTACATCCATACAACGACCAACAGTATCCCTTGGGTCCGTATCATCATGGGATAAAAAAGACTCAACATTATCATCAAGAGATCCATCCTCCACAAAACGATCCACATCAGCCTGCAATTCAAGATCCTTATCATCCCACTGCCAAAATGACATGACAATGAGCCAACATGCAAGGAACTTATTATTCCTTCCATGGATTGAAAGAGCCACTCACCAACTGGTTTGAAGGTGATGTCAGAGTTCCCGCACCATCAGCTCCAAACATCATTAATGGCTTTGAAGAACTACCACTATGAGGTAAAGCAGGCATTGACATCACATCACCAGGTGTATGTGTAGACGGAGTTGAGGGTGCTGAACTTGGAGATGGACCAGCTGTATTAGCTGTTCCAGAACTATTGGCAGGACCAGAAGATGCAGGCTGCTTTCTCTTTCTCCCAGTCTGGCTTTTGGAAACCTTAAAGTGTATTTAGAAGAAACCATGTTAGGAATCAAATTTAAGAAACATTATATACATGCATGCACCACATTAAATGTCTTCCAAATTCAGGGCATAAATTTATGCTTGTGTGATCCAACAGATAGGAATACATAAATCATAAATTCAAAATCGTGTAACAAGTCACCAGCCAAATCTTTCACATACTGGGTTCAAAAGTCAATGAAACAAACAAGTAATTGAAGTATCAATATACAATTGCTAAATTCTGTAGCCGTTTTACACAATCCCTAATGGATTTCAAAACCACTTATTAATCCCATTGCAGCAAAATTATCAAAATCATAAAACAAATCCGTAGTGTTCAACATTAAGAGAAAAAGAAAATATAATATCGATAACAATAAAATGAATGGCTCTTTCAATATATTCAACAAGAGAAACTAATTTCATGTATCAGAAAATCACTATTAACGATATGTTAATTGCCAAGAATCTATATATTTAATATTCATATACATATGAGAATTCCCATATAAACCATGATAGAATTAGTATTCATAAATAGTCATACATTAATATAAAAATTAGTATCCATGATCTACGAAAAAGGACCTTTCAATCTAACAATGGATTTTGAGAAATTATTATGCATAACATCAATTTCCCAAATATTAATGACAACAATAAAAGGACTGACCTGATCATTGCCTCTAAAAGAGTTTGACATGCTACCATCCACATTGACACTACCACCACCTCCCCCCATTTTATCCTGCTGATGCATGTTATGATTTGAAGACTGAGATTGCTGATTTGAAAGAGTATGCTGCTGCAGTTGCTGCTGTTGTGGATTAGCATTCTGCTGCTGTTGATGCAACTGTGCCAGTTTCACCTACACAAACAAAAGATATAAGTCATTCCAAGCAAATATAAATAGGACACTTGAAAAAATTAAGATAAACTTCAAGAGAACAAAAACCTTCATTAGCAAGTCTGTATCACTACGCTGAAAAGCAGGTCCACCACCTACTTGAAGTGCTGATCCAACATTTGATACTACATCACCAACAGGGTTTGACAGACCATCCTTACTTACACCCATATTCCTGTTATTCAGCATCATTCTGAGTCTTCTATTATCATCACTGCCAGATGGTGATGCCAAATTTTGTTGTGCCAGAATTAGCTGTTGCTGATGCTGTGGTGTCAACATTGGAAGTTGATGAAAAGTTTGAGGAGACTGTATGAAAGGAGGTTTCTGTTGTTGGAGTAGTCCAGAACGCAGTTGCTCCAATCCCTAATAAGGAATAGAAAAAGGATAAATAACTCATTTTTTAGTTTTATCATTAACACTCCGTTAGGATAGAAAGAGAAATTGAGAGGAAAGAATTAGGGGGAAAATAAATCCAAGAGTAATTTAAGTGATTTTTGGGTGGATAATTATTACATGTTGACTTATTTTATATATAATAAGTTTAAAATTAAGGTATATTAAAATAACTATTTAAAACTAATTACATCAAAAAATTATTTTCCTGCTCTAATTTTTTTCTTTAAATTAAATTCGATTATAATATTTTTTCAAGCAAAAATATGGCTCACTAACATTTGTCCTCTTTAGTTCATGCCTTTTAAAATTATTCTTTAAGATGCATAATGATATAAGTCCAAGATTAAAAATAAGTGGGGATGATGGACTTTTTATCACTTCTCCTTTCTAATTTCCTACCAACAAACAAGGGAAATATTTATTTCCCGTCCTAAATAGCTCCCTCCAAATCACCCTATACAAACTAGGGCTAAATGACGTCGAAGACACAAGGTTAGCAGGGTCATTGCTAGAGACTTCAGATAAGAGGACGCTTCAGACACAAGGTTAACAAGGAAGGCTACTTCTGCCACCTGATAATGGCTCAAGCAGTATGGGTGGGATATGGTCAGGGTAAAAAGATCATTATGACCAATTCCCATGTACAACATCAAAACAAACTCTCAAGCTTAATAAAGTTTACGAATAAACATTAAATTCAAATTAAACATTAAAATAAAAGGAATACTCACTGTGAGTGGCCACCCTTTTAGAGTTAAATTATTGCTACCTTGATTTGAACCTAACATAAAAAATATCCTGTTAACAGCAATCTGTGTGCAAGATTAATCATTCCCCAAAAATATCAGTTTTAACATTAAATCCATAAACATCCTCACACAACAGGGTGAGGAATAAATTGTAATGAAACAACTAGATCAAAAACAACTCCCCCGTAAATGCATGCAAATTAGCTTCCAAATTGATAAAACAACCAGTTACATTAAGGACGTGATGAAAGGATACCAGGCATTGCTATCAATGATCCTTCAGGACCTGCAGCTCTAGGATTTAAAACAGGATTGATCTCACTCTTTATATCCTGATTAGCAAAGTCAGGGTTAAACAGCTGCTAAGAAATATAGAAAGATGTAATGAGTTTAAGTTAAGAACACTAGCATACCGAAGTAGACCCTGGTAATTGCTGACTACGTGCTTGAACTTGTGGAGACGCTGCACCAGCAGCACCATGCAAAACTTGTCTGAAATCAAAAAATTGAGCACTAACAAAGTCAGATGCATAGTTATAAAGATTAAAAGAAAACCAAACACTAGTATAATTAATGGAATGCCAAATACATACTTCAAAACCCAGAAAAATAAAAAACAAAAAATTAAAGAAGCAAATAACTGTCAATTCAAGGTCACAGCAGGAGCATATCCTTTCAAATGAACTACGTCTACCCCAGCTCCAGCCCCTACCCTACCCTCCAGAAAAGTCAATCTGGCTTCTACGTTCTAGAATACAAGATCCCTTTTTTTCTATCATGTTGATGAAGTAAGCTTCAGCTCATGTGATCTCCGACAAAACTTAAATTAGCTCAGCTACAGCCTAGACTAAACAAGCATATACCTTACCAAATTAAAGCATAAAACAAGAAAGTTCTAATAAATTACCCTGACGGCTGCCCAGTAGCTGCGGATGACTTCAATATTGAGGCATGATTTGGGTCCAATAGTTGTTCTCCGAATCTTTGCTGTACAAAATATCATGAGATAGTTATGAATATGTATGTCATCAAGAAAAGTAGTTCATCTTTATAATTAGGCAACCTGAACATCTCCTAACCTTCATTGCTGCATCTTCCAAAGAGTCCCTTTGAAGGGGAAGTTTTAACCTTTCCTCATACATCTTTGTTGCCATTGCATTTGCAGTGCTAGGGTTTCCAACTAACCCATTTGCACCACCATTTAAGAGATGAGTCCTATCCCTACCCTGTTGTTGCTGAGGTGGTGGCTGTTGATGTTGTGGCTGTTGTTGCTGTTGCTGCGGTTGTTGTGGTTGCTGCTGCTGCTGCTGTTGCTGTTGTTGCTGAGCCCGCTGTAACAGGATCTGCTGCATTTGCATTTGTTGTTGTTGCTGTTGTTGTTGTTGATGTTGTGACTGCTGAGGTTGTGGCTGCGGCTGTTGCTGCTGTTGTTGCTCTCTAGCCTTCATAAACTGGGTCTGCAAAGAGAGTTTCACAAACCATATACATGAACTGGTAACTTACTTTTTTACTTTGTTAAAATGTACAACCCAGACTGTCAACAATTTTTATATAAACAGCTATATCCTGCTAACAGCTATCAGTCCCGGATAGAAGAACAGAGCAGCCAATAACAAAATAACTATAGAGTGATAGCAACTAGGAGAATGACCATTATTCTGACTTCCGTATATAAATTAAATCATTTGTATTAAATACATCAAAAAAGAACTTCCCATATACAAATGCATATTCACAATTACAACTAAAAGTAATATTTTAAGACAAACAAAGAAGTTATTAACAAGTTACAAGAGTCCAGTTATTTTAAATAAAAAGTACATAAGATTACCGATCTAGACTCAACAATTAAAGAAAGAATATAAATCAAATCACAGAGCACTCTTCGACACAAACAAAACACACCCCAAAGGATGTGAAACAGAGAGAGACATATTCCTGCGTTGCAGCATGTGGATTGGCCATAAACTCAAATGGAGTGCCATGGGTTTGTAGAAACGAATGGGAGCTATGGGTCAGATGGTCGGTGTCAAAGAAAGATGAGACCAGTGTCATTCAGACGTCGAAAGGAGTGAGGATTGGGAAAATAGGTTCTAGCGAAACAAGTGGGGCCAAAATCCTAAGATTGATCCCCTTAAACAGCACCAAATATGAAATGTTTCAAGGGGAAAGGATTTGTGTCAGAGTCAATAACAGTCACAACACCCACAATAGCAGTCATGATTCACGTCACTCCAGATGCAACAACAAACTGCAATGCAACAGGGCTCCATAGTGTGGCTCATAGTGGTGACACTCTGAAATACTGCTATAGCATGCAATTGACTACTATGGCTATGCTCATATTTCAGATTCAAATTTCTCATTCTTGCCTAGGCCAAAATAATAAAATTAGTATGTACTATAAAATTTCTGCAATTTACCAAACACGGGTCAGATTTCCTGTTTAGAACCACAACTAACATGCAAAGGCCTCTCCAAAGAAAAAAAGAGGCATAAATACATTATAATAATTTTAAAAAAACAATCATGAGATGAAATGGAAATGTAAGCTATCATCACAAATTGAGATATATTATTTAACAAAGTGAGGAACATGAATTTTTAACGGGTCATGGTTACTACCGCACATTTATGCCTAAAGACTCATTAACCAGTTTATTAATCAACTTCTCAATTTTCTTTTCCTAGATTTACATAAATATGCAATTGAAGTTGTATTTCCACAATTTTACTACACGACAACAAAAAATAAGTTTTTGGCACATAATTTAAGGTTTTATTCAGAAAACATAAAAAATCATTAAATAAGAAGTTATCAGTGGACAAATAATCACAGGCTCAAACAAGATATTTTTTGAAATCACACTGCTTGCCACATAATCTACATCCTGGAATTAAAATATAATGATCTACCTGATCTTATTTAATCAAAGAAGAATCTAAAGAAAATATCACAAGTTTCCCCAGCAGCTAAACCGAACCATACATATTTAAGAGGAACAGTTTGAAGTTATGATTAATTGAATTTACACACTTCCCCATTGAATGCATGAAGAAATACCGCAAAAGAAAATCAACTGGCAGTTCATTTCAATACTACTTTTTGTTCGAGGAACTTGCTATAACAACCGAACAATTCAGGTTTACCATGCAAGAAGAATATGCTACGTATAAAACAACCTCAATAGTTATACAGAATATGGTATAGACAAATATTCCTTATGGAATGCATGAGCCAACACCGACAAAGTTAATCAACCAACCTCAATATAAGATGCAGCAACCTCTGAGTGCTTCTCATTGGTCCTGGCAATAAATATGTCCCAGAAAACAGACCACCACTCGAACAGAAATCCTCCGGGTGCATCAATAGCTGCAACCTCACGTTCCAATTAACAAAAACAGCCAAAGCAATAAAATTGACAAAAGAGGAACATTAAATCCAACTAGACTACTGCGTTTCTAGGTAACTCACCAACAGGGTCCGAGGACACTTTCCCTTCAAGTTGAAAAGCCTGAGCTGAGGCCTTCAAATCCCTCTTCACTAGGTAATCATGGATGTAAACATCTAACCTGAAAATCTCAAAGCAGGCAACCCAGTTTGAACTATGAGAACCAAAGTTTGGATCTTCACATCATGCATATCACACACAAAGCAGTAGACCAAAAACCCACATCAAAACAACAACACGCCCAAATGCAGGAACCAAGTGGGTTCAATTTCATCCAATCTAAAGATACCCCATACACTTGCAGAGGCCAAATAAACCCTAACAAACCCATTAAAACGCCCTCATACATTCACAAAAATACAACCAAACCAAGGGAAATAAACCCCATAAGAGACAAAAGCCAATAAACAGACCCAGAACCCAAATCAATAAAAAGGCTAATTTTTTTTAGGATGGACAAAAACCCAGTTTTCAAAACTAACAAAACCATATTGAAAGTTGAAAAAACACGAAGGATTAATAGGGCAATAATACTCACATCTTATCAGCCTCCCAGTTAGTTTGAGACATGCTGACAGAGCAAATATTGATGGGTAATGAGGAAATGAATAAGTTTGGTGAATGTTTGTGAAACTGAACAGTAACAATTGCTAAAGACACAAGCTTTTGGTGCAGCAGAGAGAGACACACCGAAGGGATGAGAAAAAGAAAAGAACAGGAAAAAGGGAAACTGAGAGAAAGCGAAACGAGGGAGGCACAGCACAAAAAGCAAACAACGGAGACGATTTAGGAGCAAAAACATGGAAAGGGTAAAGAACTAGAGAGAAGCTTCAAAGTCTTTCTTTCTACATAATATAATATCGTTTATTTTGGATTAAATCATTTTTTTATTGCTAAGATTTACTTGGATTAGTATTTCAACAAAATTTCAGTATCTTTGAAAGATTTAATAAATATCTTAATCTTCTTAAATTAACTGTATTAATATTTTATCATCTAATCATATATTTACAAAAATATTTATATCTGACATTCGATTTATGAATTATAAAGTAATTATCACAATCAAATTAATATATTTATTAAATGTTAAAAACAATTACTAAAATACTTTTAAGGATCTTGTTCCAATACAAACCAAAATTTAAAATATTAAAATCTTATTAAATTTTTTAATTAATAATGATAAATTATATAAATTCAAAAACTGAAGTATTCAAATTATAATAATGCTAATATTAATGTTACGTTTACTAACGCATAAATTATTCAAGAAGAAGCTGCTTTTTTGGAATGTTCATTTCATATTCTATTTTAGCGTATCTATTTATAGATACATTTTAGTAAAATATATTTCAAAAAGAAGCAATTTTTATAAATTATATTATTTCTATTTTAACTTATTTATACATACATTATAGTAAATTATTTTTTAAAAAGAAGCAGTTTTTTGGAACTTTGTATTATTTCTATTTTGCGTTTATTTATTTAAACATTATACAGCTAAGAAAACAGAATATGTTTGGGAAAAAAAAACATATTTCCCCATTTTCAGCTGTTTTCCCATGTAAAATAGGTTGTTTATAATTGAATGTTTGGGAAATCAACCTGAATTTACTAAAAAAAATTAAAAATAAACTATTTTTATAAGTCCTATAACATAACTTATGATTATATTTTTTTTTGTTATTATTATATATATGTGTTATTTTCTCATATAAAAATTGATTTTTTATTATATACCTGATCCTAATTATAAATTATTATAAAAAAATTTATTATAATTCCTAATGCAATATAAAAGCTAAAAGTAGTTGTATTTTATTTGATGATAAAAATAAAGTCTTTGATCTAATTCTAAACACGCTATTAGTATATTGCATTTTAAAGGATTGTCTAACTAAATTATTAAAATAACTTTAATTAAAATACATAAGAACAATATTAAAATTTATTGATAAAGTTTTTATTTAATATATTCATTTTTTTAAATGAAAAATTGTGTGATATATGTATGTGAAATAAGTAATAATATGTGTAATAAAAAAAGGGTAAACTTTGGTGGAAGTAGAATGATCTTCTGATCCTTTAATTTGGAATGATTCGTGAATATTTAAAATATGGGGAAAAAGAAATGAGTGGTGTGATTGGTTCAGATGCTTTTCAATCCAAAATTGCATATTTGTTGGTTTTTTTATTATTATTTTCATTTTCACCTTTGAACACTGAGTCCTGAAATTTATTTTTTTATGACCTTTGGTTAATGCAAGTTTTTAACTTTAAATTGATAAAAAGATTATTTTGATATTTTAAAGAAATAAAAGAAAAAAGTGAACTTTTTAAAAGATAAAAAACTAAATAATATGTATATATATAAATATTAAAACTAAATTCATCATTTAAATTAATTATTTAACCAAAATTTATATGATTTATCAATTTTTTTAAATTAGATGATAAAACGAGTCAAATTGAATTTATTTTAATATGTTCGGTCACTAGTTTGTCAAAAATAGTGTGATGCGGATTGATTTATCATAATCTGAATATATTTTATATAAAAAAATTTATATTTATTTTTTAAAATATATCTTTAATTATATAAATAATTGTTAATTATTTATTTATTAATTAATATATTTATTAGATAAATTAAAAAAATTATATTTATAAATTAAAATAACTAATTATAATTAATAATTTAAATTTAATTAATTAATTTTTATAATTTAAATTATAAAATATTTACTTATTAATAATATAATATAAAAAATATAATATTTTTAATTATATTTTTTATTTTAATTTTAATATATAAATATTTTTTTAAACGGATAAAGGATTAATCTAATTTAGCAATCTAAAAACGAAATAAAATAAAATAAACTGGTGGATTAAAGTCACCCACCAGCCAATTTTTTAAGCCAATGTTTCAAAATAATTTTTCTCTCTTCTTTCAAAAATTAGAAAACAATCCTAATGCAATAACAATGAAAAGAAAAGTGTTTTGGAATCATAATGCAATATTGAGTCAAGAGTGGTTCAAAATTGCCATAAAACACTAGTGTCAAAGGGAAATCTCACATATTTTATAGGGTTTGGAGTAAAATGTGTTAAAAATATATGGAAAAAATCCTAAAAAAAATGATAATTTGTAAGAAACATATAATTAATTAGTTTTTGTTACAATATTATAAAAATGCATATAAATACAGTTATAAATTCTCTTATTTAATTATGCATTTGTAAGTGCACATATTTTTTGTATGATTAATCTGTGTAACATTTGTTAGAGTCTAACTTTTCTCGTCATCTTTTTTTAAAACATAATTTTTGTAATTTTTTTTTCCCTTGTTTGGTGAAATAATCTATAGGATATCTTTCGGGATTATATTGCAAATATGGAGGTGCAAATCCTTAATGTATAATTCAAATAATTGTATACATTTCACATAACAATTTTTTTGGAAAAGTGTTGAAAGGTTACTTTTATCATTAAATTGTAATAAAGATGAGCAGAAAACAATTAAGGAGGTGCAAAAAGTAATTTTTCATTACTTGGTATGGGTCACTTGTAAGCATAGAGAAATCCAGGACTAGTAAAAGGCCCAATAGGAACTTAAAACAACCACACAAAAGTCTCTCTTCCTTTTCATAATACTTTTTCTTCCAACTAGGCATGGCAACGGGGCGGGGCGGGGGCGGGTTTTGCCTCCCCCGTCCCCGCCCCCGACTTTTTTAACCATCCCCGTCCCGCTCCGATCCCGCGAGTTAGAATTAAGTCCTCATCCCCGTCCCACTGGGTTTCGGGTTCCCGCCCGTCCCCTATTTATATTATTTTTAAAAAGATAATTATATTTATAATAAATTAATTTTACTATGTATTTTTATATATAAATAAATATTTATAATTTATAGTTATTATTAATTAAATATACATTTTAATTTATTATATTTATATTAAAATATATATATGTAAAAGAAATATTTAATTATTTTTTATTTATATATATATATATATATAATATTTATAACATTATTATTATTATTATTATAACACTCGTATTCAAATATTTGAATATTTATAACATTATTATTATAATACTGTATTCAAATATTTAATTATACATATAAGTTAATTCATTTTCAAGTTGTCAATATATAGTTTATGTGAAAAACTGAAAGATAAGGGAGAGAATAATATAATAAATTAATTGATATAAAAGATTGAAAAAGATAAAAAAAATTAAAAAGTGGGTAGAAGAAAAATAAAAATTGGTGAAATATGAAAAAATAACCTTATATGTAATAGAAAAAGAAAATGAAATACTTTTAAAATATTAATATTTTAAAATTTAAATTTAAATATAAAGTTGGGGCGGGGACGGGGCGTGGTCGGGGTGGGGATTGCATTACCCATCCCCGCCCCGCCCCGACTTTTAAAGCGGGAAAACCCGAACCCGACCCCCTGGTCAACTCGGGTTTTCCCCGTCAAACTCTGAGCGAGACAGTGTCGGTCCTCACGTGCACGGATTTAATTGTCATCCCTACTTTCAACATCTCTTATTCATCTAAACAGATATTAAGTTTAAGATTCACTTTACAAACTAAAAATTTTAATTTAATTAGAAATCTCATTTCATAAAACTTTCAAAATAGTAAATCCGAAACTTAAATCATACATGTGAAAAATAATTTTTGAATTTAACTTCTTAGAAACTTTCCAAGATGGTAGAATTATATTCTGAGTTTCATAATTTTGTATAAAAAAATTTATATATTTCTGGATCTATTTATCTGAAATTTTTTTGGATTTTTCCATCCAAAAATACTCCATAATATGCCTTTAGGTCATTCGTTCCCTAAAACTAAGGGTATTATCGTCTTTTTCAAATAAATATGGGATGAAAAAAAGTATGAAGTTATAAGAAAAATGTGTCTTCCACAAAAAAAGGGTGTTTCTTCGTGCACCTCCTACTTACTTTATACAACCTCGTATTTATCTAAAATAACAATATTGTTCTATAACGTAAATGTGTTCTGTCAATTCGAAAAATATTTAAAAATGTTATAAAATTGATTTCGAATATACACAGAACATTTTTATTATTTAATATAGATTATGAGAGTGCAGAAAGAAAATATGGAAGTTCAAGAAGAAGGTGGAAAAAAGACTCTCTTCATGGGCTTTCCCGGCCCACTAAGTAGTTCCATTCTTTTAACTTTTTAAATTTATTTTTCACCACACTATACTCTAACAGTTAAAAATAGAGCACAATTGTCACACTTCAAGTTTCTTCCTTTGAATTTACACGTAAGTCCATTTTATGAAAATTAAAAAAAAAAACTTTTAAGGAATATTCAATTCAGTGGTTAATGAAAAAACAAATCATATTTTCATTAAATTCCTCCTATTTAAAATAAAATGACACATTTTTACCAACAAAAGAAAAATATTGATAAGGACAATGAAATAGATTGATGATGTTATATGTTACACTTGTGAATAAAATCCTTGTTCATATTTTTCCACAATTTTAAAAAACCAAGATAGCATTGATTATTATTTT